GGAGATTTTAAATGTTCCCACAAACGAGTGGAAAGTTGTCTGTTTGTGTCAACAATATAACAGCTTTTGCAGTCTGTACATTCAATTGTATACACATTTCCTGAAGTATTATTACCCATATACCATTTGGATAACAGTTAACTCAGCTTTTCTCCAGGTAAAAATTTAAATTGTATTTTAATGTCCAGTTTATACTCTATGACTGTTTTTAACCAGATTTTTTTGATAGCATGAGATAAGTTTGGAATGAATGATAAAATACAAGTGACAGGGACATCTTTGGAAGAATCATTTTCTGTGTCAATTTGTGACTTATTTTCAAAAAAAGTAATTACTTTATTAACAACAGTAGGAAGGAAATCTAAGATGTTTATTATTTTATTGAAACAATCGGATTTTATTTGTACGGATAGCACCCGTATTTGTCTTTTTAATAGAGGACAACATTAATAGACGAAAAATAAAAGAAGCCCTATTAATAAAAAACATAACCCCTATTCTTAACAAATACAAAAAAAAAATTTAATTAAATTTCTTCAGCCTCAATTCATGTATCCCACCTGACGCTGCCAGGTAAACCTAGCGAAACGGTGAGAATAAAAGAAACAAAAGTTTTACTATCTACATCCTCAATAACGTTTCCAGTTAGTATTATATAGATTATATAAATACCGCATCTCCCATTCTGTTGATATCTAGATGAGGCTACACCTCACACTTACCACAGTTACAAATCTAAGTTTCTGTTGTTGTATTGATCAAAACAATGAATGAGATAATCAATATAAGAAAAACTAGAAATCAGAAAATATCATAATATTCTCAAATTTCTGACAAATAAAAACGCTGATTTTACGCAGTGAAATGTCTTGTTCATTTATCAAAATCTTAAGAATATCATTATATTTTCTGATCTCTAGTATAAGTAGGTTTCAAGATATCTCTGTAAAATATGTAATATAAGAAAAATGTTATTGGCTTAACCGCTTCGTAAATGTCTTGTAATAATTCTATGAACTTGTGATTGAAAGTAAAGTTTGTTTGTTTGTAATCAAGCACAAAGCTACACAATAGGCTATCTGTGCTCTACCCGTCATAGGTATCGAAACCCGGTTTCTAGTGTTGTAAGTCCTAAGACATACAGCTATGCTACTGGGGGGCAAAGTGATAATGCCATTATCTCCTGGTATTCTCAGATGAAAGTAAAGTTTGTTTGTTTGTAATCAATCACCAAGCTACACAATAGGCTATTTGTGCTCTACCCGTCATAGGTATCGAAACCCGGTTTCTAGTGTTGTAAGTCCGAAGACATACCGCTATGCTACTGGGGGGGGGGATGATAATGCCATCATCTCCTGGTATTCTCAGATGAAAGTAAAGAAGAATATTTAATCATACGTCAACCACACTATATCTGTCATATCCAGTGTCAACAAAGCCTTTTGGCCAATACCAGGGATTATAAGTCCGGTAGGGCTACAACAAACACTGTCGTGATCTAGGCCTTAGATATGTCATGAATTGCATAAACAGGCAATTTTTATAGCGTGAACTACATTAAGTCATTTACAATCCAGCATTTGAGAAAGGATTAATACCACAATATTATTTATTTTTAATACCAGTTATTTTTATCGCTATTATTTTTTAGTTGAATTATATTTACTATTATTCAGGAGAGCTGGCGAACCAGCAAGCTAGTCTTTATGCTCCCGGAGCGAGTCAAGCAACCACAGGTTAACGAGAAAAAAACTACATTAGTCATTCTGTGAACTTATGAGTGAGAGTAAAGAAAGATATTTCGTAATATGTCTACCACACTCAATGCCTAGGAAACCTTTCGCCCAATACCAGGGCTCATCAAATCGACAGACATAGCAGCGGTTGGGTTGAGATATTATTTATAAGTTTAAACACATAGGAAATATTATAAGCCTTTTTTTAATCTGGAAAGCCAGTACCTTGTTATTTCAAAAAGAAGTCGCCATCACGACTTGTTTATGTAGTGTAAAGCCACACATGGTCTATCTGCATATAGTATCACTCAATATAATTTTTGTGTTTTAACTTGGAAGAGATGTTCAAAGTAAAGTTACTTTCCACCAGGAAAAGAAGTGTATCATTTGCATTAATAATTCTTTTTTTTTTTCCTTTTCCTTTTACTATCTGTTTTTGTGCTAAGAGTAAGTGCAGAAAGTATTAACATGAGTAACTTCGGAAATATGCGGAAATATTGTTTCTCAATGTAAAGTAGCATGAAATGGTTGAATCAAGGGGCTCTTCGTACAAAGTTGAGTAATCTGAATTGATTATAATGATAATAAAGACCTATACATATAATAAGTAAATAGTTCTTAACCTAGTTTAGTGAAAAACCATTTCTCATAGAACAGGTGGCGTTCCGCTCCAGACAGTGCTAGGCAAGTATAATGTTGAACGTGCTCTAGACGGCCGGGTACAGCACAGGCGGTGTCAGGTCTGTGCGAATCATTATCATGCGGACTTTTTGTCCTCGGATTCCACTCCTATCATTAACCTAGTTATATTCCAAATAACTTTAAAAAATGAATACTTGCAGTGAAATCCCCTTAACAAAAAATATCTATCAAAGTAAAGATATACTTAGTTTAATAATGGCTGGAGACGGCTTAAATGGGTAATGAAGA